CCCAGACTGCATTTCAGACAATGTGTAATTAGATCATAATGAAGTTGTCAAGGGTCACGTGATTACATTTTGTTCATGTCTTTTAAAATTTTGAACTATACTTTAAAATTAGGAAACCTTTGCGATAAACACAAAACCCCATGTTTCACAGTAGATAAGGTCATTTGATTTATCCAAGTGTAAGTGCTGAATATTCAAAATACATTTAATTTGCTTTGCTAATACACTTTTTAATTGAAAAACATCACCAACATTCAGTACTTTCATTTTGAGACCATTACATTTTCCCTTATATCACCCAGTATGCTCTGCATGATCTCATAAAATACTCTTTACAGTCTGTAATCAACGTTATTGTGTGTTTGTCTCTTTTTTCTAGTCCTCACCATGCTGAGTACTACTTACATGAAGCCAAAAGGATGAAGCACCGCGCTGATGCCATGGTGAGTCTTTGATCTTTGCTTGAATATAAATTGTTAATATTGAAATGATAGTTATTGCAGATAACGTGGAAGAAGTTTGGAGCTTTATTTATTCATTTTTTAAAATCTGTGTTCATTAAGCATGCAGTTCTTTGTCTCTGTGTAGCTTTGCATGATTCACAGTTCAAAATAATGCTTTATGCATTTCTGGACTGTGACGTAGCTCCTCGCTTACAGTGTCTCCGAAATCACAGACTGCATTTAAAAGATGGGCATAGCTACTGTGACATCACCCATCTGGATTATGAACATGGAAGACCCTTGTTAACAAAGTGACCATACTTGGATGAGAGTAGGGAATGCTAATTTATCAGCTAATGTTAACAGGCTTGGTTTGGATGCAGCACCCATAAACTTTGTGGGTGCACTGCAAAATCAGTGTAACATATAAATAAAATACACAATACAAAATTTCACTCAGTGAAACAGCGCAAAACTATTCGACAGTGTGTAGCTCACATTATTATTTGTTATTTGTCGGATAATAGAAGTAAAAATTAAAAAACAACTACTCTTAATGCAGGCGTTCACAATGACTGCGTGATGGATTCATTTGATTTTTCAAACTGAGCTTGAGTTTTCAGATTTTTCCGACCAATCAGACCACTGCATTCGGCAATAAACGTGCACCAGTACTGAATATACAAATAGTGAAATAATACAATTTTACCTCAGACACACAGCTGGATGCTGCTCTGGGTCAGTCGGCTCTCTAAAATGATTTCTCTCCTTCCTAAGATGTGTTCCCAACTCTGCCAACATGAGCTCAAACTGCCCCACTGACATCCTGAAATATGCACGACAGCGGCCGCGATACAGCTTCACCTCCTGAAATTCTCCATGCTGCTGCCTTTTCCTGGGAATCGAATGAACACAGACTCTCAGTTTCTTCTTTTTCTCATTCTCAGGAGCAGCTGATCATCCCAAACAAATTAGAGACCAAAACTTTTTTGTGCCAGGCTTTAAGTGCTATAGTGTAAATATGCCTATCAAGTTAAACATTTTAACATTGGGGTCTTTGTGGATTGACTTTTTTTTTTAAGTGGCCAATCCAGGAATTGCAAGAACCATCTGAAATGTAACATTTACAGCACTTTGAAGCATACCTTTACAATAAAGATTACACTGACACCATCTTCTGGTACAAATTGGTTTATATCAGGGCGATTGGGGTGCCAGCCATACTTACAGCCAATTTAGAATCACTAAATAACCTAACATTTTGGCTTCTTTTGCCTCTCCAACTGTGGGAGGAAGCAAGCTACTGGACTCAAACCCAGAACCTTTTTGCTGTGACAGTGCTAAACATGTACCACTGGTCTGCCCAAAAAAAAAAAGTAACAAATAAAATAATATTTTGCCTCTTTTGATTATTTCTTTCCAGGTCGACAAGCTAGGGAAGGCTGTGAACTATGTTGATGCTGCTCTCTCGTTCATGGAATGTGGGAAGGCAATGGAAGAAGGGCCGCTCGAAGCAAAGTCTCCTTATACCATGTATTCGGAAACAGTGGAGCTCATTAGGTGAATGACATTTCAATGCTAAAGCGGTCACAAGTCATTTGGATTTGGATATGTGCATAAACACAAATTGCGGCTCTGGTGTTAAAAACCTTGTTTCTTAAGGTACGCAATGAAGCTGAAGAGTCACTCTGGCCCCGGGGCAAGACAGGAAGACAAACAGCTGGCGGTTCTGTGGTACGTATGTTGTCATCTCATCTGTTTAAGCCACATCTATCATCATACTGAAGGACATGCATTTTGAGGATGATTTTGCGCCATGTCCGACTCTTACCCACAGTTTCCGATGCCTGGCCCTCCTTTACTGGCAGATGTTTCGCTTGAAGAAGGATCACGCGCTGAAATACTCCAAAGTGCTGCTGGATTACTTTAAGGTACATCTAAAAACAAGTCATTTACTTGAAAACAAGTCAACTTCTATGTGTGGATGACACGTCAATAAGCCTTGTTTGCATGTTGTTACAGAGCTCTCCTAAAGTGCCTACTACCCCACCCGGTTGGAGTGACTCTGGGAAGTAGGTGGATGATTACTTTGAATGATCGGCTTTTTCTTTAGCCCATTTAGTCCACTGAAACCACCGCTGATTGCCCATCACTCTGTTGTGTATGTGTGTTTTCACTCTTAGGGGTACAGGAGGACCCCCCTCTTCACTCTCGCCTAATACCAAACACCTCGCACGGGTTTCCCATGAGGGCAGCAGCTCTGCCTCCCTCATAAGCATTCCCCACCGTATCCACCAGATGGCAGCAACTCACCTGAACATTACCAACAGTGTGCTGTACAGCTATGAGTACTGGGAGGTGGCAGACAACCTTGCAAAGGAGAATAAAGGTAGTGGTGATTTAAACGGGAAATAAAAAGGGGAGAGATTACCATAAAAATATGTCAAATGCAATGGTTTTCAGATGTTTTAAGACCAATATCTTTTTTTACTTCCTCATCAGAGTTCTTCAACTACTTGAATACTTTGTCTGGGCCATTGACTCTTCACAGTAGCATCGCTCACGCTGTCCAGTACACCAGGCAGGCCCTTCAGTGGATACGCATTAGTGCCAAACTCAACTAACTTAGAAAGGATTCACTATAACCTGCCCACTGGATCTCATTGACAGTAGAGAAGGTAAAACTCTGGAGAGCACTGAGATGGATGAACTCCCACAGAGCCTAATAACCCCCACAGTATGTTTTGGTGCATACGCTTCCTTACTGTGTGCACATTAAATGAGCCTCTTAACCATTTGCCAAATGTCCCTCGGACCTCGGAGGATTCACATGTATGTTCAAATTCACCCGGAAAGCCTTTTTCATACTTTGGAAGTAATCGTTAATCTAGCCGACTTTCTCTCAAGGGGCCAAAGCAGAAGAGTATCCTTAAAAAAAAAAAGACCTACAACTAGAGAACTTGTTTGCATCTTTTGCTAATGAGGGTTGTAATGATGTACTTTTTTCATTGTTTTTACTGTGCAATATTTGATGGATGGTTTGTTTTTAGAAAAAAAAGAGGATGACTTGCAAGAGAATAAAATGTTTGTCCCTTTTTATTTTTGAGTGTGGAGTTGCATAAAGAAACTTTGTACTGAAGAGGTCCCTCTGTCGGTTTACAAATTGGGTCTGGTTAAGGGTTACATGGAAATACATACAGGATGATACTCTTTTCCCTCAATGAGGAATATTTCTTCTAATAATCAGCATGTCAAACCCATCAGAAACCACTGGATGATGGCTGTATATAGTGCTTTTCTACTCTGAGCACTCAAAATGCATTTTACTAGAAGCCTCATTCTCCCAGTCACACACAAATTCTTACAAGTGCTTTTTTCTACACCTAAGCACGCCCTGTCTAACATTTACACACTCCAGTGGATGCACTAGATATAAATATCATCCCCAAAAATACTTCAACATGCGGACTGGAGTAGCTGGGAATTGAACTACTGACCTTCTGATTAATAGACAGCCTGCTCTACCCCAATGTTGAGATTACTTGAGAGAAAAAATGTAGGTGGCTAATCAGAGGCAACATGTGTTGCATGTGTTTCAGTGTACTTAATGAACCTTTAAATAAGTGCAGGTGTACGTTTATAGAAAGCTACTTTGCATATTTTTGACCTTACTTGTGAATAAGGACTGCTCAGATGAACACACTTTCTTATGAATGTTTCTCATTAGGAAACTTAGTTCATTATACTGATTATAGCTTTGCTGATAGGTTCCTTTGATGATTTGGAGGAGGATCTTTTCTGGGCTTTTTTTCCATTACAGACACTCATGCACGCACATACAGTCATAGTTGATTTACACGCAAGAGAGAAAGGTCCACACAATGTGACTGTAAACAGATTTATGGTCCCCAAAACATGAGTCATAAACATATACACTCACACTGAGTGAAAGTCAGCCTCATTAGTCACCAAGTTACACTCTCCATCACTCCACTCCACCACTTCCTGCTGCACCAACACAGATGTCGCGCATGAAGCTTCAGCATCCGATGTCTGGTACCATAGCAACAGAGAACAACCAATAAGGGGTGTGGGGATGGGAGGGGTGAGTGCTTTCTGGGACAGGCTTGGGTCAGTAGCATCCTTGCTTTCAGTGAAATACGAAGTCTCCGAACACAATCCGTAGCAGACTACTTGTTTATCCCCGTGAAAAATATGACCCACTTTATTTACACTTCCTTTAACACGCAGGCTCCTGTGTTGCAGTCTATATTTTAAACAAACCGATCAAAGATGAGAAAGCTTTGATTAAGTGTCCAAATCAAACAAGGTACTACAAAGGAGACAGGGCCCAGACAAGTTTTTTATGCTCCTCAGTGTCCAACTCACTTATTTTGCTAGCGATGGAGGAAACTCCACCCCGTCTTTGCTTTTGCTAGCGCTGTTTTTAATACTATGCAAGACTACGGTTAAAATAGAGAGCAGGTTCGCGCGGATGAGTGTTCACGTCCTCGTTCGTGCTGCACGTGCCTCTGCGTCACGGCCGTCAGTTGCCTGTGAGATGAACGGCCATCTGAGGACAACCGTGCTGGGAGCCAGACAGTATACGCACACCACGGAAAAAAACTGTGTATGTGTGTGTGTCCCTAGACTGCTCCGCCAACCGCTGTTGTACCGCAGAAAAGCGGACACCTTGCACACAAACCCTCCTGAGTTGAAATGAGCAGCGTCACTCTGAAATAACCGACTGTCGCCGCAACAAAATAGCGGCTTCACAACGGCGACTCGTTTTTCGGCTCCCGAGTGAGTAAATTAGCACCGCCAGTGGGTTAAAAACTGCACAGAGCTTTCATGAACTGTTATAGACAATTCAGGTGACATGTACGTGACTGTCCGCGTAGTGGCAGCATCGCAGCTTCAAGCAAATACTGTATACAGTGCTGAAAACAAGAAGCCGGGGATGATGCGTCAAGCTACCTGAAAGGGTACACGACGACCGGAAGTTGGGCGTATTTTGTTTTTGAAAATAGCGGTTTATGCTAGGCAAATTTTTCAGTTTAAATCAACAGATCTATAGAAATGTGTGTTTGATTTTAAGGAAAGCGCACTAATTATAATTTGGTATTTTTTCTACACTATCTACACATTTTTTCTAGCTTATGAGTGCGTTTTCCACAAGTTTAAAATATGACATAAAACTACTGTGTTAACAGTCTGGATATTGTAAAATAAGCTCATGTCTGCAGTGCAGTATATATGTTAGTAATCAGACACACCATAAGAAATTACACTGGAGGTATAGGTCAATTAAATTCCACATAATTTTGCTCCCTTACACAAAATGTTACCATAGTGGTCTATTTTTGTTCTACCTCTTTTGGCTGCTCAATATAGGGGTTGCCACAGTGGATCATCTGCCTTCATCTCACCCTGTTCCTAACATCCTCATCTGTCACAACAACACTCTCCATGTTCTACAAGAACTTTGTCTGTTGTCTTCCTCATCTCCTCCTGCCTGGCAGCTCCATGTCCAAGATCCTTTGTCCAGTATATCCACTGTGCTTCCCCTGCACATGTCCAAGCCATGCCAGCTTTGTTTTGCATTTGTCTCCAAATCGCTCAACCTGAGGTGTCCTTATGATGTACTCCTTTCTAGTCGCGTCCATCCTGGTCAGTCCCAGTGAAAATCTAGCGTATTCAGCTCATGTCTTTTTCGTGTCAGCATCTCCAAACTATATACCATAGCATCTCGTAAAACTTCCTTTTCACTCTTGTTGCTATCTTTATCTCAAAATTACTCTTGAAACTTCTCTCTGTCCATTCCAAACTGCCTGCACTCCTTTCTTTACCTCCCTTGTACACTGTACATTGCTTTGGATGGTTAATCTCAGGTATTTAACCTCTACCTCTAACCATCTACCTTCACTTCATCTGCTTCTTGCAGCTTCACTGTTTCCACAAAGCAGTTTCCTTCTCATTCACACACATGCATTCTGTTTTGTTTGTACTGACTTTCCATCTGCAGAGCATACCTCCACTTGTCCAGGCTCACTACAGATCATGTCATCTGGAAACGTATTGTTCCACGGAGACTCCTGCCTGACCTGTCCGTCGTTATCATTACAAACAAGAAAGGGCTCAGAGCTGATCCCTAATGTAATCCGACCCCCCATCTTGACTCTAATTATCACACCTCATGGCAGCTCTGCACACCCTTGTTCCAGAAAACCATAACAGCCTAGTCGACAACCTTTGTTTTGAAAGTTTTGCTACCGGAACTACTTTTGCCTTGCTCATTGGTGCTTGCTGAGAGAGAGAAAAGAAAGCAAAGGGATTCAGGCGGTTGAAATGGAGAGCGAAGGGACTGGGAGGGTGAGTGAAAATGTTCAAGAGACATGGCGTGGCAGCATGACACAATAAAGGGGACCTCGGTTCACCAAAAGGAGTCCTCGGAATAACAGAATCGGGGAGGCGGAGGACTCGATCTGACTGTCTAGAGGATTTTCATCTCGTTTTGCTTTGGTCTTACCTCGTTTAACCCAATCAGTGGGCACACAACGTTTCAGCTGAGCAGTATCTGCAGAGAGAAGTCTGTGGCTAACAACCAAGTCTGACAGGATACAAGGTAAAGCACTTCTCTTTGCGAGCAATCACTCAGGAAGGTTGGTTTGTTTACAGCCGTGGTTATCGCCACACCAAAGTTGCATAGTCTTATAGCGCTGTTTAACGCTGGGTTGCTAATTCTACCAGTATTGTTAGCAAGAGTCTGCAAAACACTCAAACTGTTCCCGATCCTTGATTTATAATACCATTTAGTGGCGTAGCGACATGCATTATTAACCAGCTAAAACCGCTTAGAGTTGCTAGGCTAATGTTAGCCGTCCACCTAGCTCGTACATGGAAGAAGTGACAAAGTGGCACATGGGGCTATGCTGTAACCTATAGCGACTCGTTGTGACCTACCTGTCAACCGCAGAGAACCTGCCCGGGCATGTCCTTTGGCACGGACGGCTTTCCCTTAAAGTGTGCGGCCAGTACCATGGCATCTAAGCTCATTTAACATTGATTCATTTAACTGTTGTTAATATCAGTCATCAACACTGGTTGCATTGTTCCTGCCATTTGGTTTGCACATGGGGAAGTTTTGTAAACAAGAGACATCACTCAGGAAGGACTGACTTTACTGTCATCTGGTGTTTAAAATAACTGCCACACCATCTGAGCAGCATTTATGACATTTAGGTTAATTTCAGATTGGATAAAAAGCTGTTATGCATCGCAAAGGTAATTTTCTTGTCCTCCTGGATTTAACCATAACCTGTGAAATTAAGTCAGCAGTTTTATTGTGTGCGTTTATGATTGTGCATCTCTGTCTTTGTACTGAGGAATTGTCTCTCTTCTGCTTTCAGATACTCAGTATGAGTCGAGATGGTTGGATGAGGAAAAGAGCCAATGCCAGCGATGACAATGGTTGGGGCGAAAGGGTGAGTCTTATTTAACTCAGCTCTGTATGGAATGGAGCTGTGTGTAAGGATAGTCAGTTAAAAGGTATTACATGGTTTGTGCATAGTGTGCCTTCCAACATTACTGGGGACACTAGGAACACCCCATCGCCCTCCCACACACTCATTATAACAGCTAAGAGCTGGATTTAGATCACTAGCTGTCTAATTGGTTAAGACTGGCATTCACATTTATGCTTTATAAGAAGAGTGAGCTCTCCATATAGCAGTCCAATATACAGGCAAGGCAATAATGAAAACTCAAGTAGACAGCAATATATCATAATATCAGTATCTGTGCAGAATAACTGGGTGAGAAAACCTCCAGTGTGTGTATATATATATATATATATATGTGTGTGTGTGTATGTTTAGATATTGTGTGCAATATTATGACTGTATGTACATATCACATAAAATATTTTAAAATCTTCATATTTTTGCTGGTCATGTGCAAACCATAAAAATACAGTTTGTTAATTGTTTCCTGTTTGTCTTTTTGTTTCTATAACTGCTCTAATTACTGCATGCAGGGTGGCTACATGGCCGCCAAAGTTTCTAAGCTGGACGAGCAGTTTAGACTTGACGCCCCCAGAGAAAAGCAAAAAGAAGGAGCGTGCTCCAGCATCTTCACCGGAGTGGCTATTTATGTCAACGGATACACAGGTAATGCTTTGTAAATATTTATGTAGATTATACATTTGGTTTGCCTCATTTCTTCAGCTGCTCCAGCATGAAGACCATAAATTCTCTCAGATTTCTCTCTCAGAGGATTAACTGATGAAAACAGTCTTCTGAATGCTGTTTTCTTTCAGAAATTACAAAAGTACATACAGACTTCTTTGGCATTTTTACTCACACTGATTTATTAGTTTCTTTGGTTTGATTTATAGTTTCATAAATCAACTTTTGGCTGTCTTGATATGATAACTCAAGGTACTGTTTTTCCACTGTGATCAAATCACAGGTTAGTGTATGCTTGATGTAGCATTGTATTTTGCTTTCATAAAAGCTTCGTAGCTCAAAATCATCATATGAAAAATAATCAAGGGAAAAAAAAATAACTTGGAAAAACTGAAATAAACATCAGGCTCATCATCTGATGACATCTGCAGCACACTGGAGACTCATCTCACAGGCAAAAGATGCCAAAGTGCAGTAGCTTGGGAGTTTTTATCCACACAGTGACTGTGGCTGTGTTAAAATTGCTGGTTTTTGAGGCACTGGGAAATATGACAGTGATGTATCCTGATGAGCTGACAGCTGTCATGATGCACATCAAGATGATGTCTAAGGTGTTTTTTTTGCCTTTTTAGTAAGTTGACATTGTCATTTTTGCCACACTTTTATATTTTTGGGAGCAGATCCCAGTGCAGATGAACTACGCAGACTGATGATGCTGCATGGGGGTCAGTTTCATGTCTACTATTCACGCTCCAAAACCACCCACATCATCGCCACTAACTTGCCTAACAGCAAAATTCAGGAGCTCAAAGGGGAGAAGGTCATCAGGCCAGAGTGGATCACTGACAGGTCTGTTCATTGCCAGTTGATAATGTTTATATTTCATATTTTGTTGTACAATATTAGCTGAAAACCTTGTTTATCTTGTCATTTGTTTAAAACAGTATCAAAGCTGGGCACCTCCTGCCATATCTACAGTACCAGCTGTATGGCAAACACAAAGGCCCGCTCTTCCCTGGCATGACTCTTCGTCAGACCTCAGAGATTCCTGGACCGAGCCATGGGGTGCTTCAATCAAATCCCCATCTAAAACTAAATCTGCCGCAATGCAAAATTAAATCCCCTGTTCTCAATCATAAGAAGTCTTTATGCAGCGCTCAGAGCATCCCCATCCCCGTCCACATCCCCAGCCAATCCCGACCTCAACCTGAGTCCATTCAGCACAGCTCTCCAGCTCGCTTTGTTACCCCCGAACCGAGTCACTCTGCATCCGGCCACCTCATTACAGATCCCAGCCACAGAAGCCCTTTGCACACACACCTGCTGCTTAATCCAAACTCCACAAAGCACCCACACAAGTCTCCGCAGTCTGCTTCCTCACAGGAAGCGGAATTAAAAACGTGAGTATGTAAAGTAAGTAGTTACACTTAAAGTGGACCTCTTATGCATTTTTCCTTATTCATTATTTAGCATCGAAACACTATATTTCAGACATTTGTTCTACTTTCAGGCCACTCTGATGTCATAGAGGTGACCTATCCTTTATAATATGTTTGACACAAGGCTCCTGTTGTGCACACATTCGATGTTCAGATGGTCTTTTTCAGAATGAAGTTGGCTTAAAGGGAGATGTGTTAGCACAACTAATTTCAGATCGTGTAAGATAAATGAGGTTTCATTTGAATTGAGAATCAAGCAACTCTAGTAGACTCAAGTAACACAAATAAGGATCTGAAAATGTGAAAAATAGGTCCACTTTAGGTAATAGCTCAGTAAGTTCTGTAGTTTTTGTTTTTTTTAAATTAACTTTACATTTTAAGGTTTTGAACAGAAATCTTTAAAGAGCTTGAAGGTTTTTTTTAAATGTCATTGATTAAAAACTCTTCATGTCCTTTTTATCACAGAAATAGAAACTTGCAGACCTCAGTGGATGTGAGCCATTCAAAAATGAATGAAATCCAAGAGTGTAGCAAAGAAGAACCTCATCTCGCTGGGGCCTCAGATGTGAAGGATGCCCCCTTGACCAATGGACACACTCACATTGTTAATGGTGCCTTAAATTCAGAGGTCCTGTCCCCTGTTACAAATCAACCATTTTTGATCAACAGCCTGTCCAAATGCAGGGTTAGGAGTTCACCAGATAAACCTCAAAGTCCTGTACAGTTCCAGGCCAAGCCTGACCCCTACGAGTTTCCCCAAAGCCCTCCAAAGCAATCTGACCAGTCCCTTGTCCTCGTGCAGCAATCCAGCTCACAAAGAGCCAATGAGAAAAGACTTAAGCCTCCACCACCAACCTATCAAGAGGCTATAAAAGCCACTGAAAGCCACCTCTTCCCAAAGCAGCTTCAAGCACCCCTTCAGGTCGATATGATTTCTGAAAAGACTCTTTCTCCTGCATCTCGCTCTCTTTCACATTCTCCAGTTCGACTAAACGGAAGTCACCACAACGCCTTTACATCTGACTCTGCCTCCCTCAGCACAAATAATGTAACATTCAAATCTGAACCTCCCATGGATGAGTCATCGTCATCCAAGTCTTCAGCACAGCTGCTAGAACATACGGGCAGTTTGATCTCCGAGTTCTACTCTCACTCACGTTTGCACCAGATCTCCACGTGGAGGAGTGGCTTTTCTGAGTACGTCAATGAACTGCACAGCAAACGAAAAGGAGCAGGGGGCGCCAGCCTTCCTGGGAAAGAGCGTTTGAGGAAATCTGCGGCCCAGCGATCTATAGACACTAAAGGTAGGAAAGGTAGGGTTGCTGTATTTGTTTTCTGTACATTTCTGAAGGCTTATTTTCTTTATGTTACCTAAAGACTGCCTGCTCCAGCTGGGGACCTTGGTTGTATGTCAGTCAAGGTCTAGATCCTCTATAAAGGGAAAAAAAAGCTTAGCAGTATATCATCATTTATAATTCTACAATTACCATTTTTTTGCAGTTGTATGACTTGTATGCTTGTATGCTAGAAAATCTGGTATATATTGAGTATAGCAGTGAATACCTTTAATTGGTAGGCCGTCAACATCATTGAGGCACTGCATACATGCACCACAATTGTGCATTAATATTTTATTTAAATCTGAAAAACTGCCCATTGACAATATTTGTATGTATTTGTTATGTGTCAGGTTCATCAGCCCAAGTCAGTGTTAAATCTTGTATCCTCCATGTGGACATGGACTGTTTCTTTGTGTCTGTGGGGATTCGAAACCGACCAGATCTTAAAGGTAAGCCACGTTTTTGTCTGTTTAAATGTGCTATCAGTAAATTTAAAAAAAAAAAATGGATGTAACACACTCGCTGCTCGTGTTTAAAATTGGTTCTTCCAGGTAAGCCTGTAGCTGTGACCAGTAATCGTGGACAGGGCAGAGGGCCTGTGAGACCAGGAGCTAACCCTCAGCTGGAGATGGAATACTACCAGAAAAAATACACACATCCACAAGCTGGTGAGATTGTCATAACAGTGGCTTTCACAGGCTTTTACATGTCCAGCCCTTCTGTAACTAAGCGTCCCCTCTCTGTTCACCTTTCAGAGAGCGCAGAGGATGAGATACACACAACTCCTTCACAAGAAAGTCCTGACTCTCGTACCAATGGAGTGGAGCAGGATGCTGTTGCTCTCTCAATGGCAGAGATTGCATCCTGCAGTTATGAGGCCAGGTAACCTATAAAAACAGATCAGGTCTGCCTTAGTTTCGTAACAATAAGAATGAGAACATATATTCTTTCTTCCACAGGCAAGCGGGCGTAAGAAACGGCATGTTTTTTGGGAAAGCAAAACAGCTGTGCCCCGCACTGCAGTCTGTCCCATATGATTTTGAGGCCTATAAAGAGGTGGCCCTCAATATGTATGAGACTCTGGCCAGGTAGAAAAACAGCGCCATCTTTTACTCACACTAACTATGTTCTCCCTTAATTCTTAATATGCATAACTTATTCATGATTTTACTCTTTTCAGTTATACCCATGACATCGAGGCCCTCAGCTGCGATGAAGTGTTGATAGATGGCTCTGCACTGCTAGCTGAAGTGGGCGCCAGCCCTGAAGATCTAGCCAAAGCGGTCAGAGCAGACATCAAGGAGAAAACGGGATGCTGTGCTTCAGTGGGCATGGGTAATTTGTTTGCCTAGTTCGTACTGTAAAATAGATCAAGGCGGCCGCTGCATTTTACAAAGTCTGACTAATCTGGTCTCTTCAGGGTCCAACATCCTTTTGGCTCGGCTGGCGACTCGTAAGGCCAAACCTGATGGCCAGTATTTCCTAAAGTCTGAAGAAGTGGACGATTTTATCAGGGACCTCCCGGTGACAAGCTTGCCTGGTAGGTGTGCAGCACCACCTTCTGGTCAATCCACGGATATCAATTCTGTGTGGTAAAATATTCAGTCAAATGATGGTGATGCTACTTTTTCAAGGTGTTGGGCCTGTTATGGGGAGAAAGCTGGCCCTCATGGGTGTGCGGTCCTGTGGTGACCTCCAACAAGTTTCTCTGTCTAAGCTGCAAAAGAAGTTTGGACCCCGTACTGGACAGACTCTGTTCCGCTTCTGTAGGGGTCTAGACGACCGGCCAGTCCGCTATGAAAAGGAAAGGAAATCTGTCTCTGCTGAGATGAACTACAACATCCGCTTTACTCGGGTTAGACCTGCTATTTGTCCTCCCTTCTGTGTCATGTGTTCTACTTCAACATGCCAGCTTTTTTCCCTCCTTCTAATCCTCTTATGTATCGCTCACCAGGTTGATGAGACAGAGTGTTTCCTGACTAATTTGTCCATGGAAGTGCAAAAACGTTTACAAGAAGCAGGTCTGCGGGGTCGAAGAGTCACTCTGAAAGTCATGGTTCGCAAAATTGGAGCGCCACTTGAACCTGCTAAATATGGCGGCCATGGCATATGTGATCATTTAGCCAAGTAAGAAAGAGATCGTTATTCTGTCCTTGTGTGTTACAACTAAATCTTCATATTTTCTCCTCAGTTGTTTATCCTTACCACTGTTTCTTTGTAAGCTTATCTTTATCTGTCTCCCTTTTCATCAGGACCGTGATGCTCGCTCAGTCCACTGACAGTGGTCAGCTAATCGCTGCTGCAGTCATCAAGCTGTTCCACGCCATGAAGGTAGAGGTGCAAGACTTGAGAGGAGTTGGCATTCAGGTTCAGCTTCTTGAGGGACATCAGTCTGCAACACAGGACTGCCGAGGCCTGAGAGGACGCTCCATCAAAGAGATGCTGTTAGGCCAGGGATCGAGTGCCAGATCTAATAACCGAGGCGCGTTCGGTGTTTTTTGGTTCCGCTTGTCTTCATTGCTGTCTGTAAAAATCACTTACGTCTTGTAATATTATTACAGATGCTGCAGACGCGCTTCAGGAGAAGACTACTTCCTCTACAACAGTCCCAACAGCAAACTCCGCGCCATATCCTTTGTCACCTGCTGAGCCAGTACCCGGAACAAGCAAGGAACAACCAGCGTGCAGACAAACTCCAAAGCATTCTCGGACACGTCTCAACTTAAGTATCGAAGTCCCCTCCCCTTCACAGGTCAGGACTGGAGTGAAATGTCTGACTGGTAAAACAAAACCTAAACAGTAACACGCCTCTAACAAACTGTCTCTTAATTTTGTCCAAGGTGGATCGTTCTGTGTTGGAGGCCCTGCCTGCAGAGCTGAGAGAACAAGTGGAGCAGTCGTGGACCAGGAGAGATGGGAGGCCAAATAACTGCCATTCCCCTGGTCTGCAGCTTTCCCCTCTCATTTCTCATCCAGCCTCTCCCCCTCGTTCTCCCCTTGCAACCGTACCTGCACTGAATTATCCACCTGTAGGAACGTTGGTCCTGCAGATTCCAAACCAGCCAGAAAGTCCAGGAATTGTACTGGAACTGCCTAACTTTTCACAGGTGTGTGTGCTATTAGATTTTTTTTTTGTTTTGTTTTTGTGATGGTTTGCCGGTGGTTTAATTTTACAGTCTAAAGTAGAGAGAAAATCAGGAAAATTGGAAACTGTAGTTTCTGTTGTACTCCATTCCACAGAAACATGTAGTGCCTTGCTGGCTTGTAGCAATTTTGCTTATTGGAGCCTTTAAATAGCACAAAGCGCTTTTCTCTACTGGAAATGTGCCATGAACACATGAGTTGTGACTGAAGCAGATGGTCCCACAAGTTAAAGAAAACAAAAGCTGATTTCATTGTTGGTAGGAAGTGAGCTTCCCATCTGTCTGACTGCAGGTCGATCCAGATGTGTTTGCTGCCCTTCCCAAAGAACTACAGGAGGAGCTGAAGGCTGCCTACAGCCGTGCAACCGGTGTCCACCCTCAGGTGAAAATGTGTAAGTCAGCAGATGAATTTCCTGAAGGAGTGCTTTTTTTTTTTTTTTTTTTTTTTTTTTTTTTATTTTTTGATTTT